GTCTCGGGTGGATAAACTGTGAAACTGCACGTGAGTCTGAGCTCTTCTCTCAGGGTATAAAGATAATAGAATTGTTCTGAGGTGTCCTTTCAGGGAGAAGTCCTTATTGCCATTTGTTTCCTCTCCTGGTGCGTGACACACTGTCAAAGGCTTTCACATTACTCGCGCAGAAAGAATCACTAGGATAGGCTTTTATAATCAGCACGACATGGCATACATCTCAGAGAATCTTGCTTGCCATTTTCTTTTGCCTAGAGGGCATATATGGAGGGGAGGAAGTGGGGGAGGGAGGCAGGGAGGGAAGGAGAGAGAGAGAACCCCCAGTGGGGTATGCTCATGCCACAACCCTTCCTCCACTTCTCTATCCCACTAGCATCACCCATGAGTGCTCTGCTTGGTTACCTCAAATTCCTTCAGCAGAGAGGCACACAGGGCCTCACCTGCCCACCTTATCAGAGGTAGAAAATGTTCTGTTCTAGAAGTCTGGGTCACGTTTCCCACACATTGTTAAAAAGGTAACAACCTCTGCAAACCGGGCTCCAGCAGCTCAGCTCTCACTGACTGGAAAACAATTTTATTTTAACACAGGATGTTGTAAAGATTCCCATGGTGAAGCCAAGGGCATGTGAGGGAGAAAATAGGACTTTTTTTCCCTTAACGTTTTGGCCAACCTGAAACGGACTTTCTGTTCTAATGACTGTGTACTTGCCCAAAAGAAAACGTGACTACTAGAGACAATAAGGAAAACAAGGGTCTTTTATTCTAGTGTAGAAAAAGGAGAAGGGTGAAATGGGGAGAGAAAGACCTCCCTTTCTAGCTTGGTGGCTTGGGGTAAGTGTGCCAACCTTCTGGGTCCTTGTGGTTTCTTCAGCTGCAAACGTAGAGAGAGGAGAGAGAGAGAGGAGAGAGACAAAGAGAGGAGAGGAAAGAGAAAAGTGTGTGTGTGTGTATGTAAGAGAGAGAGAGAGAGTACCCCCTGATGGGATCTGGTCATACCACAATCCTTTTCCCTCTAATTCTCTATCCACTCAGGATCCTGCACATGCTTGCACAACCCTGGAATGTTTTTCAAGCTGACGGGGTCAGGACTTGAACCCTGGTTGGCCATATAGAATTCAGCTTTCTCTGCCCAGTGCCTAACTGTTGCATGATGGGACCAGCCCTAGAGAGCTATTTCTTTTTAATTTTTACTTTTTAAATGAGAGTGGGAGGGTATTTTTTTAAAGAATTATTTTATTTTAACATTATTTATTTATTTATTTAAATTTGACCACTGAGGGACAGAGCAAAAGAGAGAGAGAGGGAAAGTGAGAAAGCAAGCTGCCAGGTCTGGAACTCAAACCGTGGTCGGCCATGTGGGTGTCCAGCGCCCTTAACCACCATGCCACCTGCCAGCCCATGGGGGGAGGGTATTTTTAGCAGTGTCTCACCAAATCACAATTCTTCCTGCCCCTGCTTTCCTGCTAGCTAGGACTACTAGGTTGATGAAAAAGTAACTGCGGGGAACCAGCAGTTGGTATAATGGCAATGGCACTGGACTCCCATGTAGTCAACCGTGGTTTGAGTCACGGACCCAGTGGCTTAAACTCATGCCAGGCGTGTGTGTGAGTACCCAAGATCCCAAGAGAAGAATGGAGGAGAAGGGACTGTGGCATGGCCATCCCCCCTGGGGGGTGATTTCTCACTTTCTATCTGTCTCTTTCTTTCTGGGGAATACATGTGCCCTCTAGCAAAAACCTCTCAAAAGAAATAAAAGGGTGACAAAACCTCCCTATGGTCAGACAGCTAGTTTGTTGCAAAGCTGGGGATCAAGGACCCAGACACTTTACTTTAGTAACCATGTAAACCATGCTTTTGATGCCAACTTCCCAATTCTGAGACATCACCTCATATTCACAAAGTTGATTATTAACACTCATTAGAATTAAGGACAAACGATGCAGAAAACAGTCCTTGTTGGGCCACTCACAATGCTGGAGGCTGTGGTACTGTCTACGAGCTAGGTTAGGAAAATCCCCACAGTGGCAGCTCAGTATTTCCAGATGTCATACGCCCCGTGCTCCTTCATTGCGCCTAGTCTCTTAGAAACATGTCAGAAATGCAGATTCTCTTGTGGGCACATAGGGTAATGTCCGCCTGTTCTTGGTCAGTGTTCAAATTTGCTTTGTACCTAACAGGACTGTCTGATGGAGCAGGTGGTGGGAGAGAAGAGAACTCGCACAGCTCACATGCCTGCTGTGTGCTATACACAGACACACGCGAGGTTAGGTTAGTTAAGGATGCAAAGAATGCATCCTGATTTTGACTTCATACCTCAGAAAGTAAGGTTCCTAGAAGAGAAAAGGAGAACTGATGAAAAAAGAAGAAATAGTGAAGTAGATGCAGTAGGGCCAGAGATGTTCGGGAAATGGAAAAAGATACGGAAAAACAATCACTTTGGCTGTCTCTAATACATGTGGTATGGCCTTTCAGAAAACATCAAAACAGGGAGGAAGAACATACTGGCGGTCTCAGTGAGTCCCGGATGAGTAAACAAGACTGTTGTAAGGGTCCACTTCCAGGCTAAGGGGGTCTGACTAAAAGGTTAAAGTAGCACGGACCAGATGTAGTATTTTGAGCTTACAGACAGGATCTCGCTCTGCAACAGGAAGTCAATTCTGCCTGCTCATGCCATCACATGTTTTCTGTGTTATCTGTCCAACGAGCGGCTGAGGCATTGAGAAAGAGCTGACTTCAGTCTTTCTTAGGACTCAAAGAATAGGAGAAGTAACAGAAAAAAATCATTATTAACCAGCTGAGTAATCTAAGTAACAGGTCAGCAAACATTTTACTTAGACCTAGTAAGGACATGTTTTTCCATGAATTTTAGAAGCTAGATGTCTTGGACGCTAATGATTTCAGTGAAAACTGGGATGTAACTGTCTTTGAATGAAAATATTAAATGTTCCAAGAAATTTCATCTAGTTTAAAGCTTCAGGGTTGAGGTTTAACAAATTCAGAGAATGTGTGGGCTTACCACATAGAGTCAGAGAGAGAGAGAGAGAGAGAAAGAGAAAGTGAGAAAGCATAGTCATTCTGCAATCTTTGGGCATGCACGCACATGCACCTGCTGTGTTCAAGTTGCTGGGTCCGGGACTCAAAACCATATGAATGGCCATGGGGGATTCTAGTCACCTCAGCCATCTTACCTTGGGTGGGCCCCAGAAAAGACCTTGTTAAAAGGTATCTTAGGGCCAGCAGGTGGTGTGGGAGGTTAAGGTGCTGGATCCCACATGGCTGGCTATGCAGTTTGAATGCATATACACATTCTCGAAAATCATCCTGGGTACATGTGTGTATATGTGCCCAAAATCCTGAGAGGAGAATGGAGGAGAAGGGACTGTGTGTGGTTATTCCCAATTGGGAATGAATTTCCATGATCCCTCTCTATTTCTCTGTCTCTCTCTGGTGAGTGCATGTACACTATAAGAGAGAAAAAACAAAACAAAACAAAAAAACCTTAAAAAAAGGGTGGGGGAGCAGATGGCGTGGTGGTTAAACAGAATGGATTCCCTCATGGCCAACTGCAGTTTGAGCCCCAGACCTGGCAGCTTTCTTGCTTTCCTTTTCTCTCTCTGTCTCTTCTGATCAAATGAACCAACAACAACAATAATAATAACAGCAATTGGATTTAAATAAATACATTCTTTAAAAAAAAAAAGACATCTTTAACATCTCATTTGTCTTTTGCCTCTGTCATAGGCCATACCAGCAGTTCAAACCTACTGATGCAAGTGCATACTGGCCCTGTGCTAAGCACTGTTGTATACATGATCTCATTTAATGCTCATAATTTCACAGAAGAAAGGTGAAGCTTAAAGAAACCATTCCCACTGTTGTGGAGGTCTGATTCCTCTGACAGTGCTTGCTATCAAATCTCACTGCAATAGGGTTCTACTCCTCATCCAATTCCATTGGCTCTAATTGGGAAGGCCTCGGTTGTGGTGAAATCCAAGGAGAATTTGCTTTGTGGAACTATAGACAGTGAAAGGCAAGCTGCCATTTCTTTTCTTCTTCTTTTTTTTTTTTTTAAAAAAAGTTTATCTAGGGACCAGCAGTTAGCATAATGGCTTGGTCACTAGACTCCCATGTAGTTAAGTGTGGTTCAAATCCCAGACCTGGTGGCTTAAACTCACGCTGGGCGCATGTGTGTGTGCCCACGATCCCAAGAGGAGAATGGAGGCGAAGGGATTGCGGCATAGCTATCCCCCTGGGGGGGGCTGTTTTCTCGCTTTTTGTCTCTCTGTCTGTTTTCCTGGCGAGCATACATGCCCTATAGCAAAAAAAAGAAAAAAAAAAGTTTATCTCAAGGGACAAATGGATGGCATAATAGTTATGTTGCAGGACTCTCATGTAGTTGACCGTGGTTCGAGTCCTGGACCTGGTGGCTTAAACTCATGCAGGGGATGTGTACATGTGTGCCCCAAATCCCAAGAACAGAATGGAGAAGAGACTGTGGCATGGCCAACCTCGGGGAGTGATTTCTCACTTTCTGTCTCTCTCTGTATGTCTGGTGATCATATACTCCCTATAGCAAAAATCTCTCTCTTGGAAAAAAAAGAGGTTTATCTTAGAAAGTGAGAGACAGTGCCTTATCAGGGTCCTGATGCCAGGGCCTACCCCCAGCCTCAAGCCAGCCCTGGATCGCAGGCAAGTGTGTACCCAATGTGAACTGTGACCCTCTCCACATGAGATTGCCTCATAGAGCATGGCGTTTTAATGCTGTGCCACTGTCTGGTTCCTAAACTGCCATTTCTTACCTGCCCCCTTTTCTGCTCTGTGATATAGAGACCCCTTCTCTGCACTGGAGGTCAGAAACAGTGCAGAGGGATGAGCTGCAAAAGCTGACGTTGGCAACGGTATCCTGAGGGGCAGATTCTGACTGATGGTTATTATTGAAGATGTTTGCCCTTTTTGGTCAAATAAGAACAGTTCCTGCGATGGCCCCAAGTGATAGTTACCCATTCTCAGTCATTGGCGTGATGGTTGCAGCAACAAGACCCTGCAGTTTCTTCTTTGGGCAGGCCATTGAGCTGCTGGAGAGTCTGGAAAACAAAGTAATTTTTTTCTTCAAGAAATGTCAATTAATGATAAAATTCCTGAGCAAAGTCCATTCCTAGTTCAGAACCGTAAAATGTGCTTACGAGTTCACAAACACACAGGTCAAGTGAAGAATGTAAAATAGTAGAGCTTGCTTTTTAATTAATTAATTTACATTTCTTATTAAAATTAATTAATTTATATTTATTCACTGAGCATTATCACAGCATCCAAAATGTAATTTCCTATCCAGAAGATGCTGCATAGTAGCTTAATCATACATGTTATCATCAATAATTTTCCATTTCTAGTTTCATATATATGTGTATATATATGAAATATTATATATGTATATATATTCCATTTCTAGTTTCATATATATGTATATATATTTATGAAATATATGTATATATATATTTTTTCCCCCTATTTCTCACCCTCTGCCATTTCCCATGCTCCTCCCACACTATCTCAGGTGTCCACAGTTGTTTTCCATCCCTTTTTTTCCCCATATTTTATTGATTCACAAAATTTCTTAAATAATCTAACTACTTTCAATAGCAAGCTCAGCTGGTATATACATATCTATGAATACATGTCTGACTT